ATACTTTGCCCGACCCGGGAATCGAACCCGAGACCCCTTGCCCGGCAGTCGCACTTGCGACCACTCGGCCAACGAGGCACTCAGTAATATAATAAACTAGCGACCCGCCCCGGCTTCGCACGGGTGCAATATGCATGTATTATACATACAAACCTTCCTTAAGAATCACTCTATCTATTAAAAAAAACCGCATCAAAATCCGTTGCGTAGTTTTAAAGATCTAAGCATACATACGGACATACAGCGAAAGCGACTTTGTTTTATACTATGTATTGATAATGAAAAATAATAAATTTGTAATATTAAAGTGATAATGAATACCTTTTAGATATGTAATCTACATCAATACCATTTAGAAAGGGCTCGAACATAAACATGTGTGTTATTTTTTTAAGGTAATGCTCATTTTCTACTAAACAATTTTCCCTTTCTAGTTTACAACCATGTTCACAACACACCAAAATCCGGTACATATAGAAGTTAAAATACTTATAAAGTACAAATATTGGTTCCTTGTTAGAACGAAACTACAATAAATTCCTTAGTACGTAATATCGACTACCTAGCTATGCTACAACTATGGAAACTATCGTTTTTTTCTCCTTTAAAATTAATGTATTTTGATTTATTTCATGTCGGTCATGTTTCTAGGATGCGCCGAACTTCAGTGTTTCGGTGTTTTCATGGTAGAATCTAGTGTAGATCCTAGCTTACAGGAGTTGCACCGGTATGGGGATCTTGTAGCAAACATGCCCCATAAAAAAAAAAACTATGCCACAGTGGCAACCGTGCCACTAAACTATAAACCGGTCATACTTTTCCTTATTATTAATTATGTTCATTAATAAATTTTGCGATTGAAATAAATAATATTAATTCGTTATCCTTAATATTAATTCATTAGTACATATTTTGATGTCCTACAATACTGCTCTTCATATGAATTCTCTTACTTTTATATATCATGAAAATAACTACTAAAAAAGATTAAAAGAGACTTCTCCATTTAAAAAAAGTTATAAAACTTTGAATTGATTATTTGGCTAGCGAAAAGATGAAGGAATCAATATAAAGAAAGATATACTATAAAGATCAGGAATGTAAAAGTGAAGAAGATAATTTTTCAATTAATTTAAAATTAATGATAAGTGCAACTTACAAGTAAATGTGTGATCACATTGACAGGTGTAAATAAATCTTATACATTTGGCTTCCGTAGATAATATTGTTATTAATGATTATAGTAATCTTTTTTGACTGTGTATTAATTTGAGTCTACGTCTACATTTCTCTCTGTCCTCTCTCTTTTTCATTAATTCATTCGACTGTCTCGGGTCTCGGGCAAGCGGTCTCGGGTTCGATTCCCGGGTAGGGCAAAGTATTACTGAGTTTTTAAAAATTTCAGTAGTAGCACGGAGTCTGGAAACGCGCCCGGTATATGGCATTAGGCTCACCCCCTATTACATGGGACTCATAACATAAATAGTGAAAAGTGGGTGTTACATTGTAAGTGCCGAAATGTCTATTGCCTACCCTTTCGGGGATAAAAAGGCGTGATATTATGTTATGGTATGTCTACATTTCATATAAAGGTCAAAGGTCGGCCCATCAAATATAAAAAAAACAGTTTTTACATTGATAATTTTGATTTACTTAATACTTTTGAAATCAGAACGAAAGTGGCTGTTGTTTAAATATTGAGTTACCATATTTAAATAAAATACATTTATAATACATTTTTCTTTTTAGCAGATGGCTCTGTTGAATCACAAGATCCTCTTTATAATAACTGGAGTCAAGTGTTGCATTGTTCAATGTTATTAAATAGATAATTTATCTAGCGCCTCCAGCGACATTAAAACCCCATTATTTTAATAAGGACAAGATGCAACTAATTTTGTTTATAGCTCTTGAGGAATATGTGTGTTATTTCATTTAACTACTATCGTTAAGTCACCTGCCAAATACATAACATAACATTACGCCTTTTTATCCCCGAAGGGGTAGGCAGAGGTGCACATTTTGGCACTTAATGCGACTGTACAATGTAACACCCACTTTTCACTATTTATGTTATGAGTCCCATGTAATAGGGGGATTGCCTGCCAAACTTGAGTATTATAGCGTTTTAGCAAAACTCCCTCTGAATAGGGAATCTCTTCCTCTATCTCTCTATTTTAGCTGTGGACTTATCCCGGATAATACCATAAGAAACTTCATACTAAAACACGGTTATACAGAAATTAAGTTGACGAAGCGACAGAGGTATGTAAGAATCGTAGTATCATCATAAGAGACGGGAGTGAGGCTATGTATGTATATATGTAAATTAACATAACATGACATACCATCACGCCTTTTATTTCCAAAGGGGTGCAGAGGCGCACATTACGGCACTTAATGCTACTGTACAAGGTGACACCCACTTTTCACTTATGTTACGAGTCCCGTGTAATAGAGGGTGAGCCTATTGCCATATATAGGGCACAATTCCAGACTCTGTTAACCTTCAAGCGGGCGCGTGGTCTTTTTTAACGGGAGCGGGCGCTCGTAACCGAATAGACCTATGGGATGAATAAGACCAAGAAAGCAATAATTATGGGATAATCATTTATTAATTTGTACTAAGATACAATATCATTGTCTTTAAAGAGAAATTTGTCACAACAAGTAATTAAAGTTATGAAAAAGAAGCAATTATTAAGTCACCTAAAGTAACTCAAATATTCTTCGGATCAAAATATTAAGACCCGTTTACATACATATGTTAGGTTGGTTTATATACGTAGACCAAAAAATAAATAAAAAGTAAGGATAAAACTCTAAAAACTCATTAATTTTGATTTTATTTTCGTCTGAGTCAGTATTCTAGTAATTTTTCAGATTTTGCTACTTCGTTACTTTATCGCGTCCTGTAAAACAGCTATTTATTTCCGAAACCTACAAATTATTCTCATCTAAATCCGACAAGGATGATATCACATCAGATAGATGTTCTTCTAAAACTATGTGATGAGAAGTCTCAGAGCCTTGGTTGCTAAGCTCTGATTCACTCTCTTCTTCGTCTTCTCTTTGTAATTCCTCGATTACTGTACTTTGCGATAACCATAAACGACTTATTTTAACAAAAAATGCTTTAAAACACCAAAACTCCAAGCTGAATTAGATAATATTGACATGTGTATGTCGCGTTGGGCGTCGCGCGTAACCTATTCGACGACAGGCGCGTGTAGTCTTATCAACGACTGCGCCAGAGCCTAAAAAAATGTAATTTGTGGAGTGTAGAGAGCGCTTCAAGCAACGAAATAGTTTTTATTTTACTCCTAAAAAGATAGTGACAGGCTACTAGAAATAAGAAATGCATGTGGCAACTAAAAATAAAAATACGAACGAAAATGTATTAACCGCGGTCGATTCGACTACGCGCGCCCGCTTGAAGGTTAAAAAAAATTCAGTAGTAGCACGGAGTCTGGAATTGTAAATTAATATCTTCCAGCTATATGATGTGAAAACGAACTTGTTACCCTACAAAACGACTTAATCACTTATGTTACCTATTCTCAACCTTTTCCTCGTAACTAAATAAATAGCGAACTGTGCAATTTCACTTTTGTATACAAACAAAATATTCGAAAGTCATGTGTCGAGAAGTCGGTACCGTTGGATCTTGGCGTCTCTATGCGTAGACTTATTAATAGTTAGAATGGACATTGAAGCTTATGTGAAGAATGAGTACGTGTTTTATTTGTGTGAATAATACTTTTATATTCATTGAAAACCAAGTTATTCAATGTTTCGTATTAAATTTTTGGATCTATCTAAGCTTCTGACTCAAGCTCCTAAGTAAAAGAATGTTGTGTGGTGTAAAAATCATTTTTACTTTGTAAATGTAAATTACCAAGCACCCAGGCTGAAGACAATAAAATAAGAAGTCGTAGTATTTTAACCGCATTAGTTACGCAGTAGGCAATGTTCTTGATGTTAATAATAGCACATAAAAAGACAAGCAAACTACATTTTAAAATTAGAATTTTAGAATGTAACTTAACGTATTTTAAATTGCTGACCCAGCATTAAATAGAAGAGCGCAGTTACATAACTAACAACGCAACAATTTGACATCATCTAAATTGCTTATCTAAGTAAAAGTATGACGAATGTAGATTAAAAGAGATAAAAATATAATAACATATCGTCATTATATACGAATTAGCAATCGCCATTCCGGAACTGCACATACGCTCATTATTATGATAATTCATCAAAAATTAAGTGTGTGCAATTAATATTAAAAATGTACAGTCTATTTTATTAGTGAGCTGTGCGTTAATGATGACTGTTGTACTTTCTACGCCTTAAGATGCGTGGAGAACCTCGTTAGCCGTTGATACTTTTAACCGAAGTGTGTATGCGTAGAAAGTTATTGATTTTTGCATAACTAGTGACGTTTTTTGCGTATAATGCCGATGTGCGAATTAGCGATAAAGTGGCGCAGATTGACAAATGTTTGCGACTTTAATTGGCTTACATAGAGTCGTAGAAAGGGGCGTGTCATGCCTAACTTTGTGTAGGAATGTTACGGCAGTAAAATAATGGTGTTAGGTGGAGCTTTGTAGTTTTTACCTACCCAAACGAGAGCTTGAGTGACAGCTGGTGGCTATTATATTCATGCATTCTGTGTTCTTTTAACATTCTCATTCTATATCTCAAAGAAACCTAAGTCATAGATATCTAATCTCTCTGGTCTGACACCTAAACGTTTCAGCTTAGACAAAGATATCTAGTTTCTTTTGGCTTGATACCTAAAAGTCTAACTGCTAACTTTCTAACTAACAGTGTAACTTTTTAAATTGAACAGTCAATTACAAGTACCTCACAATTCTGTAACTCACATTTACTGTTACTGACTCACACCCATATATCTCATGTCTTCATTGTGTGAACTGAACTTGTATAACAAGAGCAATAATTATAATAATGAAAGGGTTTATTGTACTCACCCGTCTCGCTTTCTCACTGTCGCTGTAGTCCACCGGCTGACATGACAGACTGTAGTCTCCCCACCAGCCTGACATCAAGTGCTAGAAAAAAGATTATCTTATTAGTAATTAATAAAGTTTAAATTAAAACAGCAAATAAATATTGTATAGGTACATTACTACATTATTGCTGTTAATAGTGTTATTTGGGTAAGGGTATATTTATTTTATTTATAGTAACATCACATGAGAATAACTGCATCTAAATAGATTTTTTGAATATTATGAAGCCTAAGTTTTTGTGAATTAAAAATATCATTGGAAAGACAAATAGTCTAGTCGTAAACCTAAATAAAGTCGCGGAGAACCTAACGGGTAACCGGGGCTCCGGCTCGACGTGCAGGAGAAGGAACGGGGTGGTTTTTAGTCAGTAAGAGTCTGACACTCCCTCCCGCCTCGCCCAGGCGGGAGCAGTCATTAGATGATTTTCTCCCTTTAAAAAAAATCCTAAATAAAGGACAGTAACTTGACGAAACTTAAACTTCGCAAACAAGCAACAACTAAGCATTTTATATACAAACTTAAATGGTCTACGAACTACAAAGAAAATGAACTCAATTACAATGACAAAACACCAATCATGATTTAAGATAATAATAAAATGTACAATGTTATACTAATTGTATAATTTATACATAACTCATGTACAATATATTACATATAATTATTCAATAAAACAACTTTATAGATATATAGCGTGCAATAATCTTCACTAGACCTAGATATAAGTCTATATTCAGTATAACACTAGACTTTTAACGATCCGTAACACAATCAATTTTATATATATAGTAATTATTCGGTAACATTTATTTCTTATTATGTTATATTGTATATGAATAGTGCCTTGACCGACTTGCCAAGAATTTGCACTATCTATTCATACCGTCTAAGATTGCGTAAATTTTGTAATGAGTATAAAATTTTATAAGATATTGGTCCTGTGTTAATGACTTTAATGTTGATGGCTGATTGACAGGTCATTTAAAGGCATTTTATTTGGCTTAAGACATGTTAATTATTATACAGAGTGTATTTTTGTTAATACTAATTTAATCTTGGTTTTGTTCTTAAGCTAATAGTCTTAGTTATTATTAAAGAAAAATGTTTTTTTTTATAGCGTAAACGAGCAGACGGATCTCCTGAAACTAAGCAATCGGCGCCGCCCATGCACACTCGAAACACCAAGACGTTACAAGTGTGTTACCGGCCTTTTGGGATTTGAGAATTTGAGGATTGTGGACAATTCAGGGATTTGGGAGACGGGGACTAGGGAGAGGGGTAATTGGGCCTCCGGTAACCTCACTCACACGACGAAACACAACGCAAGTGGTTTCACATCGGTTTTCTGTGAGGCCGTGGTATCACTCCAGTCGAGCCGGCCCATTCGTGACGAAGCATGGCGCTCCCACATTTGGATTGGAGATTAAAAAGACAATATACCTTTATATTTATTGTTTCTTTTAAGGGATGATTGTATATGAAATTAAAATTCAACATTAATGAAACTTTATATAATTATAATTTTGAGATACGAAACTGACGTAAACAGTAATATTCATAATTATTAAGACGAGCATACTCATTTCTGTATATGAACTTCTAAATATTTTAAGCATTTACATAATATTATTAACTCCTAGTTACGATACGCTAACTCGAGCTATATAACAAGCTTTTTTTTTCATTTGGGACAAGCCCGCCGCAACCTCCCCAAACCGCTGCAACTCCTGTAAGCCAGGATCTACAGTAGATACAACCATGAAAACACCGGAACACTGAAGTCCGGCGCGGCCCAGGCATATGAATAACTGTCTTGGTTCCCGCAACGAAGTGAATCAGATGATATTATAAGATATAACAAGCTATATATAAAGAGTCTCTTTCTTTACCAACATCTTAAACATAGACTATTTCACACTGAAAAAAGAAAGAATAGACAATTTCTCGATCACCCGATCGCAATTGCCTTGACCTTATTTTATTGTCTAGATGTAATGACACCGTCAGCCAGTTGCGATAGACTGTCTTTTTGTTCAATGGACCGTGGTCCTCTTATATTGTCATAAATAATAGAACTAATGAAATAAGTGAATAATTTAAAAGTTTTATCTCAAAATACGTTTTTTTATTTAATTTCTTTATTGGATATTTGCTATAGATAGGCTCCTGGTATAGCAATGTAAGAAACCAGTTTTTTACTTCCTAAAGACAAAGGTGCGCATTACAATAAAATAATGATAAAATTACTCTTTATATATACATATATACATACACATTTGAATTCTTGCAGATTAAACATTTAAATGAAATCGACTGAAATGTTTTAATTTATTTGTTTTGTTCTAGAATTTTAACCACAGCACGTACCAAGAGCAGTCCATGAACCAACTACTGAGTGATTCACGCCATTTTTTTTTCTAAATTTCGATTATCTAACAGTAGAAAAGAGCCTTAATACTTCAGTTTTCTTTTCTGTACAATCGAAGTGTCATTTAACACCGTTACTTTGCAAAATCTATGAACGTACCATCCATATGCTACACAAACTAAATTCTAACGATTGTCCAATATACACTGACCTCTCTCAACGTAGACTTTTCGTGGAATGATGGTTCTCATTTATCATGAAGTTACTTTCTCCGTGTCCGCCCATGCTTTTATGATAATTCTATACGTAATCAACGTCAGACTTAACAATGGAATTCCTATAAGATTATAGTTCCGTTTGTGGAGATTGTTGTGTAGATTTTGTTCATGTATTTTGGTTGTCTCTCTCGTGAACTCGCGAACCACTAGTTCTAATCGTCTTTTATGATATGTTCAATTGTCTTTAAAGTTATTGAAATATATTTCAGTTATTTTAAAATACATAATTTTATGTTTTCTTTGTTATATTTGAGCCATTTTGATTTTTTTCTCACTCTAATTATTGTTTCTTATTATTTTTATTAATAAAAAGTGTTCCATTGGGTTCACAAATAAGTGGTGTCTATTCTAACACTTTTGCGGAAATCTAAACAATGGAGTCCTCAAGTTCCCTAATACTTTAAAATCTATAAAGGTGTTCATTTGTTTTTAGTCGTATTTTAATTTTCAATATCGACTTAAACCTGTATAATTATCATACGTTTTAAAATTGCATGGGCATCATCGCCATAGATCCATGAAATTGGCTAAGCACCTTGACATGTTAACCCATGTGATTTTTATACGATTGTGTCAAACAATCGATTACTTGATTATATAGCACTTTGTTTGTATAAAGGTCTTTGAGTATTAATAAGACAAGCGTTAACGCAGTTATTTTATGGCTTTATCGTAGTAACAATCACTAAATACTACGTGCTACTTTGTTTATTATCTTGTGTCTTATCTTTTAAGAGTGTGTATGTATTAGTTTTTTTTCTTTCTGTCTTTCATACGAATATTACACTTACAATTTTATTGTGTTTAAAAGTAGGCTCAAAATTATATAACAGCGATGGAATTCAGCATGACGAATACAATCATTTTATTCAACTCATAGCAACGAATTCAGATCAATACAAAATTACGTCAGTTAGGCCAGGCATGAGTCTTATTTTTAACCATGAATGAAAAGTAAAGTAATTATTTTTTAATGATAACAAAAATATAATGGCGACGTATAATGATAACTCACGAATTACATAATGCTACGAAACCCTTTCACTTTTACATGTACAGTTAAATAAATAAAAGATTACAAGTGGCAGTTCCGTTTTTCTTAAGTGATACATGCCTAGGCGATAGGCATGTATCATTCAGCATCGTATGACGTTTTTAGAAAAATAAAAAGATTAATACTTTCAAATTCGTAAAGCCTAATCAATACATAGTATAAAACAAAGTCGCTTTCGCTGTATGTCCGTATGTATGCTTAGATCTTTAAAACTACGCAACGGATTTTGATGCGGTTTTTTTTAAATAGATAGAGTGATTCTTAAGGAAGGTTTGTATATATAATACATGCATATTGCACCCGTGCGAAGCCGGGGCGGGTCGCTAGTTAACTATAAATAATGTAATTAGTTAGTTGTTTTGGTTTTACTTGAGACCGTGGACTTGGTTTAGTTTGTTAGTTCACGGTACGAATTAATGTGATATTTAAATATGAATAAAATGATGATTAATCAGTAGCAGCGCGATAGTCGCCGTGTCGCGAGTCGCGGAATGCTGCTCATGAATATGAGCCTCTAGCATGGCTTGAAACTCGTCGAGTTCCTCGTCAAATAGTTACGTGAGTAAATCAAAAAACATAATAATTAATGAATTATAAATTATATCAATCACGCCTGTTATTCTTTGAATGTTACAGAAAGCAGGCATATTACTCTCCTACAGATGGTATTACTCCCGTGATTGTCTCCTCTTCTTCATCTTATCAGGAGCCTATTACCAATTTCGAAATAAAAATTTAAATCTTAAAGCTACATCGCAATTCTTATTCTAACATAACGTAACATAACATCACGCCTTTTATTTCCGAAGGGGTAGGCAGAGGTGCACATTATGCCACTGTACAAAGTAACACCCACTTTTCACTATTTATTTTATGAGTCCCATGTAATAGGGGGTGAGCCTATTGCCATATACCGTGCACAATTCCAAACTCCGTGCCACTACTGAGAATTGAAAACCCAGTAATACATTGTCCGACCCGGGAATCGAACCAGAGACCTCGGCAGTCGCACTTGCGACCACTCGGCCAACGAGGCAGTTTCAGTATTCTACTATTCCAATTTATTTCCAACGACACGATTTGCAGTTACTCTAATACTGCTACTGTAAATTGAAATCAACCCTGCGCTCTACGTCTTCTTAATACTTTATAATCAACATTTTTTACCCGAACACAAACAATTACATAGACTGTACAAGCTTGGACAAATTACTGACAGTAAAGATAATGTGTGTATATAACTTTAATTGAGCGATTAACGATCATGAAATGTGCATGTTAATTCAATTTATTGGTTTGTTATGTGTGTAACTTAATTATTATAGTCTCACATTTATTTGCAATTTATAAGGTAACTGAATTTTTAACAAGGCGTGTAATGAATCATAGTAGAATGAATACAATTGATTTCATAATTTTTTTCTTAATTCGTGTTAAATTATTTATTTATGACACACTATACTATGAATTTATTTTCAAGGATCAAGATCATAGATAGAGTGGAAGCGCCTTTTTTTCATTTGTCTAGTTTAATATTCTCTTGTTTCAATCATGAGCTATAAAACTATTGACAGAGATTCAGCTCGCTCTTTTTATATTTTATGAAGGGAACATAACTAATAAAATATTTTCAGTTCTGTACCTTCAATGGATTAAGAAGTTATGTTTCTTAGTAGAAATAAAGTAAAGTGGAGAGCCATGCTTCAGCACGAATAATCAGCCTGACTAGAGTGATACCACAGCCTCACAGAAAACCGATAGGTAACAACGCTTGCATTGTGATATATCGTGTGAGTGAGGTTACCGGAAACCCAATTATCCTTCTCCAATCTCCTAAGTCCCCGAATCACAAATAATCCTCAAATTCCTAATCCCCAAAGGGTCGAAAACGCCCTTGTTGCGCCTTTGGTATTTCAGGTGACTTTGGGCGCAGATTGCTTACCATCACGTGGTTCGTCAGCTTGTTTGAAGGCTATTGCCATAAAAAATATAACTCACCTCGTAAAACATATAGGAGGACAGCAGAACTTGTAGAGCGTTGTATGCAACTAACGTGTTCTGTATTTGGAAGGGTTTTCGATTCGCCATCCATAGTGGACCAGCCACCATCACAAATGCCAGGTACACGCACACCATCGCCACCGTCGGCAGCGGAGTGTCGAACAGAAACCATCCTTGAACACGAGGATCTGAAATATGATTTAAATTGTTATTTGACATGTTATTTGAGCTGGATTATTTCTAGTGAAGACTGCATTGCTTATGTTCGTATACTCAAACGCTATTTAAATTTATGTCGCGTGTATGTGTATGTTTTACTAAAAAATCCTATGATACGGTTCTACATCTATATATATATAAATAAAAATGAATTTCCGTTAGTTAGTCTCGCTAAAACTCGAGAACGCCTGAGCCGATTCGGCTAATTTTGGTCGTCAAATGTTCGTGGACGTCCAGGGAAGGTTTCAAATTCAAATTCAAATTCAAATTATTTATTTGCACAAATATGGGTACATCATGTTGTTCATAGTTTATACAGTCATATAATAATATAGATCGCCATATTCCGGCTTTCGCCATGCAAAGTTAAGTGACAACAATTTAAGTCAAGATAAAAAAGATTAATTTTAAGGTCAAAAATAGTGGGTTTACGTCATAAGGAATAATTATTATTATTAAGTCAGAAAATAGCATATAGGTAAATTAAAGTTTTAAATCTTTGTCGATAAAAATTCTAATATGTCACAAAATCGAATATCATCTATACATAATATTTAATAAAATTGTTACTATCTAAAATACAATTAAAATTTAATGTCATACAGTTACTCATACATTAATAGTGTATCTGTGTGCTCCAATATTTACATTTCGATTCCGGATATATTGTCCTCTAAAAATTCCTTTATGGAGTAATAGGCTTTTGCCAAAAGTAGACATTTTAATTTACTTTTAAATGAATGGTCGTTTGTTGTTTCCAATAATGTGGTGGGTAAATGGTTGTATAATCTAGGTATCATGCAGAATACACTTTTACTTAGGAGTCCAGTTCTGTTTGGCATGCAGCTTAGTTTTAACTGTTGTCTCCTACTTTTTAATTTTGGAAAGAGATTTGTATTTTGCCTAGCAAACATTATTAGGTCAAAAATATAAATACACGGGAATGTCATTATCTTAATATTAACAAATGTAGATCTACAACTTTCGGTTTGTTTCATTCTGAATATGGCTCTGACGCATCTTTTCTGAGCTCTAAAAATCGCGTCTCTTTCTGTACAATTGCCCCAGAACATTGCACCAAATTTTAATATGGGGGTGACATACCCATGGTATGCCGTAAGAACAGCTGACGTATTGACCGTTCTAGACAACATGTATATTGCGTACGAGTACTGACTAAGTCTCGAGCACAACGTTTCCGCATGCAGCTTCCAACTCAGCTGCGAATCCATCTGCAATCCCAAAAATCTGGTTGTATCAACTATCTCAATCTTGGTCTGCGAGTGGTGAATATTTATGTCATCTACTAACTTGGGAGTCCTATTTTGAAACGCCATTAATTTAGTTTTTTCTAAGTTAACTTTAAGGTTATTTAAAGTCAACCATTGTATGATAGTGGTTAATGTGTGATTTATGTCAAGTTCAATCTGAGTTTTGTCCTTGCCCGTAAATATAATTGTGCTATCGTCAGCGAATAAGACACAGTTGTGATTAATGGCTTTAGGTAGGTCATTTATATATATAATGAATAATAATGGTCCCAACACACTACCCTGTGGCACACCAAATTTATTTTCAATAAAATCTGATTTGTAAGTTTTTATTTCTTTGGAAATAGAGCATATTCTAGTTATGTGTGTTGACTGTTTCCTATTGCATAGATAACTCTTTATAAGGTTATGTACATTACCTCTAACCCCATAAGCATATAATTTCTCAAGCAAGATAACATGATCAACATAATCAAATGCTTTTGTTAAGTCCATATAGAGCGCATATGCATGACTTTTTGAATCGATGCTAACCATAATGTGTTTCAAGAATGAGTAAATTGCCAAATTGATACTTTTGTTTTTCCTAAAACCTACTTGTTCCTTAGTGAATAGGTTATTAGTTTCAAAGTAACTGTATAATCTTTCGTGAATCACCTTCTCAATTACTTTGGATATAACAGGTACTAACGCTATTGGTCTGTAACAGCCCATGTCATTTTTATCATTTTTTTTGAATAAGGGTTTAATAATAGTCTTTTTTAATATTTCTGGGAAGACACCCTGGTAAATGCAAATATTAATAACATGCCCGAGTACATGCGATATTTTATCAGAAACGTGTTTTAAGACTTTGGTAGTAATGTCATCATATCCTGTACTATTAGTCGATTTCAAGTTTGTAATTATTTTGTGTATTTCATTCTGTGTAACAGGTGCCATAAATAAAGATTTTGGTGCAATATCTATACATGTAGGTGCTTTGTTAGGTTCCAATTTTGTAATTTGGTTAATGAAATATTTGTTAAAACTATTAGCAATCTCTAAGGGGCTTTTAATTGTGGTTCCATTGGTGGTTACTATCTGTTGTATTTCCGGCTTTGGTAAGTTAATCTTGCTTCTATTAATAACATTCCAAGTTGCCTTACATTTGTTTCGAGCATTGTTTATATAATGGTCATTTTTAGATTTTTGTGTAAGGTTAATTATACGTTTAAGCCTTGAGGATAGCGTTGTAAAGCTTTTTCTATTGATTTCGGTCTTGGTTTTACGATATTGCCACAGAAGTTGGCGTTTACGTTTGCAGCACTGCTTTATACCCTTAGTGATCCATGCTGCTTTCGGTTTTAAAGATATTTTTATACGTTTTATAGGGAAACATAGATAATAGAACGTACTAAACAAGTCATGAAACATATTAAAAGCGATATTAGGCTCATTACAATCAAAAACCTCATTAAAACTTAAAGCATTTATACATTCTCTAAATTTACTTAAATTTTCTTTACTATAATCCCGGCTTTTAATATACCAATGACCTAGTGAACTACTGACTTTTACTGGGCACGTAATCAATTGCGCACTATGGTCGGACAACGCAAGCTCTAAAACTTCAGTTGAACAGCCGCGAATGTTAAAAAATATATTATCTATACATGTTCCGCTTGCTATTCGAGTGGGTTCATTTATTCCGATTTTTAAATTAAAGGATCTAATAATTTCATTTAGCTCTGTTGACTCTTTGGTATTTTTGAGCATATTAATATTTAAGTCACCACAAATTATTATTTTATTTTTACCAAGGGAGTAGCGATTTAATAGAGAGGTTATCATATCAAAGAATTTTTTTATGTCATTCGAGTATACTCGAGGAGGCCGATAGATACAGAATATATATATTTTATGTTCGGGTAGATGTATACCTGAACATTCAACTATACCCTCAAATGAGAATTTTTTAATGTTTTGGACTGTCAAGAAGCGTTGTGAATTGTGAACAAGAATACAAGATCCACCACGTCGTTTTTTACGACAAAATATAGAACCAACTGAATAATTTGGGACGCACAACAATTTCCAGTCACCCTCAGTCATGTTGTGCTCGGTTATGCATACAATATCTATATTTTTTTTACTAATCAAAGATTCAAGAGATGCAGTCAACACGTCAGACTTATTCAGCAGACCATTAATATTTTGATGTAGTACATTAATTTGGTTGTACACGAAAAAGATCGTCATTACCATCCTCCGGAATGTAAGTGTTACAATTTACTACATTACTATTATTTGTTACCACTTCAATGTGTTGAAATATGGAATAGTCAACTAAAATGTTTTTAATAATATGTTTATATATATTTTCCATGCCTTGTTTATTAATTTTTCCACTTGTATAAGAGAACATGTCTAACGATAAGTTATAATTACTGTCAAAAAAATATGAATATTCATTATTTTGAATGTCAAAGTGTAAAAGTTTATTGAACATTTCAACTTTGTAGTTATAAATCGGGGCACCTGTGATATAGGTTGCTGCACAAATAATCTTGTTGGTGTGGGTCACTTTCTGTAAGGCTTCTTTTATCTGAATTATGGTTTCTATATGGGTTTTGTCTGATCTGACATCATTTTCTCCAATATGTAGTATGCAATAATCATTTAAAGTAAAATCACGAAGTTTCTTCTCAATGTCGTACAAAAGGTCCCTAGCAGTACCATTCGGGACTACATAGTGGCAAAAATCAAAGTAAGGTGAGAATATACCTTCAATGATGGACAGAGAATGCTTGTATTGGTTAGTGCTTAGGATACATAGTTTGTACTTGGCTTTTATTTCAGTAAATTGGTGTGTTTTCTGAAGTGTCGTCTGCTGTTTTGAGGCTGTAGCTTCTTTTGGCTCAGTGGCGCATGTTTGAGTTTCCTTATTGACCATTACATTTGGGTGTTGGGATTTTTTTGTACTATATGGAGTCGATATTTCTGTATCTTTAGAGCTGTTCATCCTATTTGCCTTTGATTTATTTTTGCGGCTTGATCTCGGGGTCATGCTTTTCCTTTCTGGTGTTGAGCATATCTTTCTATATGTGATATTGCATTTTATCATATTCTGCAAATCACTTTTTAGACGAAAGTTCTCACTATTGAGATTTTCTATTTCTAAATGTGCACTCTGTAACTGTCTAGAAAGTGTTTTTATTTGCTCATTTAGGTCGTTTATTATACCACTATTGTCGTGCAAACTTCCAGGTATACTCATCATTGTGGTATCAAACATAGCTCTTTCATTGTTGTTGGATAAATTTGTAATGTCATTTAGTGAGCTAGTTCTGTAAGGTTTTCGGAAAGTAATATTTTCTGTGTCCATTTTTAGAGTATTGTCAGTATTTGTAAAATTTGCGAGTAACGGAACGAAGTTATCTTTATGACTGAAAAGCCTTGAGTCCAAGTTTGGTTATTCAATTTCTGAACGAATATTTTTCTGTCAGGGTTCTATGCACTGTTGTGATTGGTGCATTCTTGATTGAATGGAAATGTAAGAATTAATGAGTTGTCTTTGTTTACATAGAACTGTGCACAATTTGAATTTGTAACAGTTTCTGGATATCTAATAATTAGTTTATTATTGATTAGAATAATAGTTTGTTTATATCAACACCGTGACGGATGACTTAACACTGTTCGCACTGCACTTCACT